TAAAATTACCCAGTGACTGCAGTTAAACTGTTTCTTGTAGCCACTGTTTTATGTAGCCTCAGACACATAATCTTTTAAACAGATCTCTTGGATATATTGTACTCTCTGTTGCTGAAGTGGGAGCTCACTGCTTTACAATCTCAAGATAATTAAAATACTTGAATATTATGGAATATGCAGTGACTGGTGATGGTGTTTGGGACAAAATTTCAATCATAAATTTTGCAAGGATATCTTTCGAAAGTTAATTTGAAAAGAACAGCCATCCATTTCTAAAGGTTGATTGCAACAGAAATGCTGATTTCTGTTGAAGGCTGCTTAGAGCCTTTTATGTATCAATCCCACAGCCTGTGAAAAGACCTCTGAAGGATACAAGTCTGACCTGCTGTATCTCTATGGGAGTTGCAGAATCTACATAGAAACTGGGTTATGGTACTGACATGGTTTTGCCAATAATTTTAGCCTTGGTGTTTGAGGTTTGTTGCTTTGATCAAACAGACAGATCAGTCCAGATCTATGCTATAGTGTGGCATTGAATTTAATTTTCTTTTGGGAAAAAATGAAGTAAGGGTCTCATGGTCTCAGTCTTCCCCTCTGTCCACAGTGAGAGCAGCCTGTTGGACTACCAGGTCCACTTGGTTTTTGAGCAATAGAGGAAAAACTTCACATAGAAATAACTTTTTGGTTCTTGTTTACAATTAAAATACACCTAATCTGTGCAGCCTCAGAACAGATTTCCAAGATTCTTCAGAATATCAACAAGAACCAAGTTTGCTCCATTTGTTCTTCTTCAACTCAAAGTGATAGTTTCATTTGTGTATCTTAAAGAGGCTGATGTTACAGCATCGATGTTATCTTAGTGTTTGTACAGAGAAAGGATGTCAAAGGCAGCAATATTGCTAAAGTAAATTTATAGCACCTATCCATTCATCACACCCAGAGGTTGATTCTGATCTCACATTAACATGTATGACAGTGACCTAGAAAACAGTCCTGGAGCAATTATAACGTTGCAGCAACTTGCAAAAACAGGCAGTGCTTTTGGTAATTGATGATGCTTCACCTTAAAAAGAGGATAATTAGGATTCTTCCTCCCATCTCACTGCTTCAGTGTATTCTAACTCTAATTGCTATCTTCAATTTATATTGTTTGTTCTTGGGCCAGCATTGTCATACATCTTAAATGATTAATTTCCCTGATGTTATCTTTACCAATAGCCTTCATATTCCTGCCTCACTGTTATGATACACATTGATCTTTCTGTGAGTGACAAGAACTAGATCCTATTCCAAACAGGGACTCACCCATACCTGTAGGATGCCATCAGTGCTGTGCTGTCTCCAGTATCTCTATCTTTGATGGTGTGCTGTGAAGTGCTTTTGTCTTTTTCTCAGCTGTATCACACCGGGAAATTTTGGGTGGAAGCGGCTGCACTTTGTCTACCTGTCTCTTCGCACACTCCTCCAGGATGTCCTGTTACATCTCCATTCCTCTGCTACTCTCACTCTGCTGTCCAGGCATTGTAGCCCTTCTCTCCTCCTTCCCAGGTAGCTTTTATACCTCCCAGTGCTTCTCTAACTGTTATCAGAAGTTGATGTTGGGGTTGAAGTGAGAGCCAGAAATGGGCCAAGGCCTACTCCTGCTGCGGGATGATGTGGGAAGAAATGGACATGGAAGGATCCAGGACAAACAGGCTGCAGAGCATTTTCATCCCTCTGCTGCCATCTGGGAGGAGGCTGGGGAGTGCTAGTGCTGCCAGGGCTCAGCAGCTACAGGGAAGACAAAGCTGAGCTACTGGGACTAGCCAAGCGAGTGCCTGCCTCCTCTCACACAAGTCTGTAGTTTGTCACTTAGGCTGCTCCCTCATTTGCTCATTCCTGCCTACCACGAGCCTTAAATTCCTACTACATTTCCTCTAATTTCTGCTACTCTGTGATATTCTTCCTCTAAACTGGTGCTGCCTCCTGATATACTCGAGCACACCAGCAAAATTTGTCAGTTTTTTGTTGCAGAGCCTTGCCTTATACAACTATTAAAATTCAGACCCAGTCCTTGAAGAATTCTTGTGCTATTCCATTTTTGTTGATGAATCCTCTTTCAACACAGTCCCTCAACTGGATTTAATAGTATTAGTCTGGTGCAAAGTGACATCCAGGAAAAATAAAACTGTCCCTTCAATTTTAATGAAGGGCTCAGCCATCTGATCAGGTTGTTGCAGTTACTGAATGTCAGTGGAGCCATTGAGACATGTTGCTTTTAGTCTAGCCATTTGCAGAGTAATGCAGGACCAATTTAAACTGATTTTTAAACCAAAATTGAAAAAAGTAAACTTGGGGGGGAAAAATAAGAGTATATAACTGGCCAGTTACCATGGCTTTGCTCATGTACAGTTTTATTGCAACTTTAGTATGTGTCTGAGGATGTCATTAAAAGTGGAGGAACCCACTTCTGTGATATTCTGAGGAATAATTGTGCTTTTGACTCATGTTCTGACTTAGAACAAGTTCTACTGTACGTCAGCATGGGTTTCTCTTTAGCCATTGCCCTTATTGATATCCATTAGCCCTTTATATATACTTGTTTCTAGGCAAGGATCATTAAGTATGAGTTATGAAGTGCCTGGCATCGTAGCTGCTGCTGAATTATAAATTAGTACTTTTACAGAGTCAGTTAATCTTTTTTATCTTGTGTGTGTCTGATTTAATGTATATGCACACACATAAAAGAAGTGTATTAACATGGCAGGAGTGTATCCCTCAGTTGGAAAGGTCTGGAGAGTTGCTAATTTCCACAGTCTGTATTCCTCCTCTAAAAAGGACTGGGGTTTCAGTTTCCAAAGAGCACCTGGATGCAACAGTTTGCTTTAAAAATAAACAGTTAATATATCCTAGAGGGCATCTGCTTTCTCATTATTCCAATTATTTCCTTTCTGCCCATACTGTGAAATGTGTTGTCTTTCTAATAAGTTTTTGTCAGTGGCACAATTTAGTATGACATTTTCTAAAATTAATCCAAGCAAACACCACTTGAACTGTTATCTGTACAGGTGTAATCACTATATTGGGTTTATCTCATTGTATTCCCAAAACACTCAGTTCTACACAGACCTGTCCTGTCAGTAAAACTTCCTTCATTTGACTTCTGTTTGTGCTGAGAGTAACTTTGGTTTTTTGAGAAGCACCTGATGTAGCTTTCCATGCATACCTTGTCACTTGTCTAATGACACATCAGTTCCTCTGTTAACAGTAAACAATCAGATGCTTTCCTAACTTTCAGTGACACACATCCATCTTTCTTCCTGTGGTCTCTGGGAAATGTGTCGAGTCTCAAGATTTCAATCAAGCTGAGTGCTAACATTTGGGATTGAGTATAAGATGGACTCAGGACTAAAGGATTGATTCCTGTTTCTCATTCAGCTAATAGTGTATCGGTGACTTCAGTGAAACTGAGGCAGAGATTCACCAGCTGGAGGAGAGAGCCAGGCTCAGGTATCAGAAGCAACATTGACAGTATCATTAAAATTGCCTCAAAATTGTTGAGCTTTCAGAAGCAAAAATACCACTTTCAGAATCTGATCCTAAATCTACTGATACCAGTTGAAATTTTCACTTTTTGCTTCTAGTGTCTGAGTTGTAAGCCATTACATCCTGCATGGCTTTTTTAAAAAAATTCTTTGCATATCAACACCAGAACTTTTCCCATACTGAAAATTAAGCCTTAAAGACCTTCATTCTACTCATATGCACATTTAGCATTTCTCCCATCCCTCTATCGGTTTTATACATCACTCAAGAAACATTTGCAAACTAGAAACTGAACAAAATAAGTTCCTAAAATACTATTTCAAAGGCTGTGCTAACTTTTGTTGCTGCTGCAGACCGTAATGTCTAAGCATTTTGATAGGAAATATTATGGAAATACAATTGTTGACTATGTTCTTTTCTGACATAGTCTGCTTGGCAGCAGACACAGGTAGCTTTGATTGATTAGTCTGAAGGTCTTCCCACCTCTAGTACAAAGTCAGGCTTTCTTAAAGCTCTCCTAAAAGGACAACAAACACTAAGTTGCAGTGAAATATTTGGATGATGTACACTAAACCCTCAGGGGAATTGTCTGCAATCATCATATTACTGAACATGAAAGGATAAAGCATAAAGCAATTCCAATTTTTCTAAGAATCCCTTTTCCACTTTCTTTCACCAGAGATTCCCAGAATCTGGTTTGTACATTGATTAGACATGAACTGTGTTCATCTTCCTGCAGCAGTATGTTTAAGTAAAATGTCCCTGAGGATGCTAAACTATTTTTACAAGTATTTCAATAAAACAGTATGTCCTATAAAATTGGAATTTCACCATTCTTGCAGAGGTTACTTGGTGCATTTCTGTGAAAGTAGAAAACCTAGTCATTTTTAGTTCAGCTCGATCTACTGCATTGGTTTTGTGCTGTCAGTGCCTTTGTAGTGTTTGTGTACTGCTTGCTCTGTGGCAGCCTAAAGGTATTCGAGCAGAGCCGGCACACAAGGCAGGAGAGCGATGTATTTAACTGTAAATCAGCAGGAGCAGGGCTTTTTTATAATGTTTCCATTTACCGTACATAAAACCACTCCCTGATTTGAATAATTTGCTGAGCTAAATAATAAGACTAACAATATACCTTTAACAGGGAAGATCAGGCAATAAAAATACCCACAGTTTCAATCAGGATTGCAAATTACAGATGTCCAAGAGATGCTAGAATGTAAAGAACAAAACCCCGACCCCTGGAACTGATCAAAATTAGTGTCAGTCATTGATTTCTAGAACACACAAAGAGAGACGGTGAGTATAAATGTTACTTACAAGTGCTGAGGATTTTAGGGAATGAAAATGGAGACCAGGAGCTGGAGACTGCCTGCCATGCCAGCAGTGTTGATTTGGAAGCGATGGACACAAATAAACGTTCAGCAAAGCTTAAAAAGCTGCAATGCAAGGCTAGCCAAAAGTGTCCATGTCCTTACCGTGCTGTGGCTGGCAGGCAATCCGTGTCTGGGAGCCTTCAGTCCCTCTAATCAGGCTCCGGGGATTTTGTTTGCAAGAAAGATTGTCCTTTAAGTGATGAGTGCAGGAAAACAGAGAAATAAAGAGGAATGAGCAAATTGTACAAGGCAAATAGCTGCAGGTCTTTAGCATGCTCCCTGCGTTTTCCTGAGCTGCATCTGCAGTAGAGAAAATATCCCAAAAATAGCTCAGGCTGCCAATGACTTGCTGAAACCTGAGAAAGAATTGCTGAATTTAAAGATCTGGGTTGCCGTGGGTGTGTGATTAAAGTGAGAAATTGCTGGCAGGAAGAACCTAGGATGAAACCACATGCTTAAGGAGTAACTTGTGAGTTCACCGGTATCAGAACATGAGCTGACCTCTGATTTCCCCCTCCTCCACCCAATGCCAGTTAACCCTTAAGAGTTCAGCGTGGAAGAAAGTTCTGCAATAGCAGATGGAAGAGGAAATATGATTTAGAAAAAAATTCTTTCAACTGTAATATCTGTGATGTCATAATATTTTATAGCAATGCCCTGTTTCCTAGATTTCAGAGCTGTCAGGCAAGCCGATGTTTTGCAGAGTTCTAACTTCTGGAAAGCTCAATCTTGTGTAGGATAAATGCAAAATACCCCCTTTAAGCTGTCTGTGGTCCCACAGAATGAAAGGGATTTCAGGGAAAGTTTTGAGACAGGAAGGCAGGCAGGAAGGATGGAAGGAAGAAAGGAAGGAAGGCAGGCAGGAAGGCAGGCAGGAAGGCAGGCACAACATTTTAGGAACTTTTCTGCAAACACTGACTTTTGGACAAAATATCAAGAATTGTTTGGCACAGCCTTGGAGGGGACCCTGGTATCTCTATACTGTGCCCAGAACAAGTTACAGAAGCTTAAAGACTACTGCAGGTTGTTCTGGTCTGTAGGTGTTCCCTGTGGATCCCTTGTGCTTACACAGACCACTAGAGCACAGTGTACTTTAGCCCCAGCCCTCAGCTTGTTCCCCAGCACTTTTTAATGTTACTTCCCTGATTTAGAAGAGAACAAGAAGCAGTTGGCACAAAGCTGGGTACGTTGGCTTGACATCAGTTAAGTTTCCCAAGTAGCACCAAAAGCAATCCTCAGTAACCTACTTAGACCAGTATTAAAGCTGCCAGAGCATGGACTAGGAGCTACTCCCCAGTTTTCTTTGAAATGACACTGAAAAGGGAAAAGGCTTCAGTGCTGCAACTCGGTTAGATTCAAGCCACATGGGACTGGATTATGAGAAGCTGCTGCTTTGGAAAGCAATTGTGCATCTGAGGAAAGAGCCGAATATCACCATTACTTCAGAATGTGCTTTTGGTTTAACATCAGTTTTCTAATATGTGCCAAAGAATAATGGTATCACAGGGAGAACAAAATGCCTAATGTGCTTCAACCACAGTGGTGTGTGATCACTTAATCATTCTGGTAGGACTGTCCACTTGACTTGATGAAGCTGTACTTCTCTAAGAGTGTCTGAGCATTTCATCCTGAAGATGCTGTGAGTATGTGAATGTAGGTGCTTTGGAGGAAAAGGCCCATTATCAAGTCTTTTGTTCTATTTGCAGTTCTAACTGTTCTGAACATAAATGTTTCTCTAGGAGCTGGAAAAGTAGACAATCCCTGAAGTAGTCTGGTCATTTAATTTGTATTTATACCCCAGCAGGCTCTTTCTGAAGTACTTCTGCTGACCAAGAGGAAATGTAGGATATTAGAAATTATGGACTGAATAATTGTGACTCATGTTGCAGTATTCACTCTCAGACAGCAGGCAGGAAGCACTTACACACATCTAGTGCTGGCATATAAATATATATCATAAATTTCATGGTGAGCTCAGGAAGTCTGATAACTAATCTCCTAAAAACTCCTAATGCAAACCTCTGTTCCTGTCTTTGAAGCAGCAAGTGATAATACAAAAAACTTTGTAGGCACCTTTTTCATAAGTTAATAAAACCTAAAGCCAGTAGTAATGACAACTAGTGGGTAATTCATCATGTGTGGTGCACTGCTAGTGAAATATCAGCATAAGACTATCATTAGTGTCTGTGTGTTAGCAGATGAACTATGCACTAAAAAATGAGATTTTTTTTCCCCCCTCACAAATGAGGTAATTAATTCAAACACTTTTTGTCTCTCCGTGTTATGAAGAGGTTGCTAATGCAATGCAATAAAGCAGTGCTGCATCTCGAACAATTGGAAACTTAGCATTCAGAACCCTTCTCTCTTTGTTCTATTCTCTCATTGTTGAATTTCATTAGTACTGAGAGTCTAGATCATAAATTACATATATATGATAATGCATACATTTGTATTTTTTAAACTTAAATATAGCATAGGGCAAAAGTGAAAAGAAAAGAGCGTGACAGAATTCTGAGCAGTGAACAGATGGGTGGTTTGGCATGGAAACAAAGGCATTAGCATACATTCATCCTTCTTATAGTGAAACACTAATGCTTATGGTGCCTATCAAGTAGATGTATAGAGAAAGTACATCTTCCACTAAGCATGATGCTTTATGTCATGATACCTCTAAATTATCTAACACGCTCATGAGAATTAAATGTTTGAATGGTCTTGTTCTTCTTTTCTTCAACTGAGTAATTTCTTTAATATCATATGACTTGAGTTTTGCCTGAGCGCCCAGTGTAAGCTAAATACTGTCTTTTCCCTTTGATTTCCCTGGAAAGAAGTGGAGAAATACCTGAAACTAGTGCTATCCTACCAGGACTGACTTATCTGTGAGCCTGTCATGAGTCTGCTGTGATCTATAAATCATCTGTCTCTCTGCACATCAGGATTTGGATTTGAGCATCCCATAATGTGTGAGAGACTTGCCTGTAGTGTTGGCTGATCTGGAGAAACAAAATTCTATTTCTACCAGTGAAATTGAGTCACCAGACTGGTGTGGGTGTAAATGAGAACTCCATTACAAAAACTTGTTGAGCAAAATAAGCTGGAAAATAGAGGTGAATGTTTTACACACTTCACTGGGCAGGATGTCACCAATTGTTTTCCTTATGAGATAGTCTCTTGTTTAGGGAGCTCTTTGGAGCGTGAACTTCAAAATTATGTCTGGCACGTGTAAATCACTGAAGTAGGAAGATTTCCAGGGGACTGACAGATAATTGTCTTTATATGACAATGACAGAGTTGGTACAAAAATGACGCTTTGCATTGTCCAAAGCTGTAACCATGGTTGGAAACAAGGCCTCAAATGCCAGCCCTGGTAAAATCAGTGGGGAAAAAAAACACTGTACCTGACACTGCACTATGAAAACTTTAAGGATTAACTTACCTGAAGTAACTTGGGATAAAAAAAAAGACCAAGGAATATCATAAGAATAAGTGTTAATGCCTTGAAGACTGTGTCTATCTGAATTGTTTGAACAGTAAGGGTCCAGGTTTGGTAGGACAGGGCAACCTGAGGTTAATTACCTTGATTACTGCAACTGTCTTTTTCCATATTTCAGTAGCTAGAGCTGTTTCTGTAGGCAATGTGCAAAAATGTGCAAAATATATCATTTTATGACAGGAACCTGAAAAGTAAGATCTCTTCTTGTACCTGGCAACTGATTCAGAAGTGCTTGATAGAATATATTTCTCTCATTTCAGCTAAGGTTAATTAGACACCGTCAGTTGCTGTTATCTACCAGAATCTCTTCACTCATTTTTTCTCTTCTACTTTTTGCCTTTCTGCTCTACTGTCTGGGACATTCTCCTTTGTGTTTAAAACCCACTTTTATAACAGTTTCTCTTGCCAAGTGCATTCTGACTGTGGCTCATCCCACCCTACTCTATTCCAGACTCATTCTGTTGCCCTGTATTTTAGTTGGAGACCTGTTGTTAGAATGGATAAGTCTCATTCTGTATAAAAACAGGAAAGGTGCCAGTATAATAGAAACTGTTTGTAAAATTGATTTTCTTCTCTACAAAGGACTGACTGGAAGATTTTCCTTATAAAGATTCTGTAGCAATCAATGAAAAATAAAATAAAATAAAAAACCAAACAAACAAAATCTGAGGAAAGCCACAACCCTTTCTCCCTCTAGGCATTGAGTTTCTCGTCAGTTGTCATTGCAAATCTCCACAAATGCTTTTGGCACCATTTCAAAAATTCTAACTCTGTGCTATGCTTTGTTTGATTAATGACTAGTTCCAGAGATTTCCTCTGGTGATCCTCACATGAGACATAAAGAATTATCAATGGCCTCAGCAATGTCTGGGAGCAGAGTATGTCAAGGATATAGTTCGCTTCCCTGAGTTTATAATGAAACATCACATTGTATTCCTTGCCCTAAGGTATTAATTTGATACGTTCTGCATCTGCTTGGCCCAAGGATTGCAGGTTTGTCTTAGCAAAGTAAGAGGATATAGTCAGAAATTGCTATTAACAACCATCAAATCCACACTTATTCCCATGTTATTAAATGTTCAATTTGGCCTTACTGTATTTGTTCAGTTTTATATATACAATGATATAAACTAGAGTACTCCAAAGCAACTGACTCCTGAATACTAACAACTCCATTACCAAAAGTTTTATTCCAAATGTTAGGGAAAATAGTGAGTAAAATGGTCCTGGTTCTACTCCATTACACAGCTATAAATCCAAGTAATTCTTCTTTCTAAACTTACACATTTCAGATGTGTATAGAAGTTGAGTTAGATAATTGGTACATCCTTTCTCAGGATGAGCTTCACAGTGAGGAAAAGGAAAGATACTTATTCTCAGAGATGTGATTAGCCCAGTTTCTAAATGCACGGGCTTTTGTGAAAAGAGTTAGAGCTTTATTGTTGAACTTCGTTTTACTCTGAAGTGTACGAACCAGGAAAGGTTCCATTAAAAGTCAGCTGCAGCCTGAAGCCCATCAGTGTCATTCTGTTTGATATGTTGGCTGTGGGGAAAATTGGCTATTGTAGCTGCTGCATTGCCTTTCCCTTCTCTCACCATCATTATCTGTCTCCGTGCAGTGATTCTCTTCTACGATGGCTTAGAGGTCCCTCTTCTTTAAACATACTTTGTATATCTCTGCTGCCTGCAGTCAGACTGTCTAAATATCCTGGGCAAGTATGCATAGACAAACAGTGTGTCAGTGGGCCTTTGAGGTAGGGTAGTGAATTTATAATAATAAAGAAGAAGAAGAAGAGAAGAAAAAAAAAAAGCAAGCCAAACAAAGAAGCATAAAACACAATGTTTGAAATTAAGGTTTTGCGGGGTTTGCCATCATTCCAAAATTTTCCTTCTCCTCAGAGACTCCT